CATAAAATAACATGCAATAAAAATACATGTGCTACAACATATAAATACATTTAAAAAAACAAATCAGTAAATTGCATCAGTAAAAGTCTAATTCATCAAACACATAAAATGCTTCATATAAGTCCACCAAAAGAAATGTTATATAAAATATACACTGCTCAAAAAAATGAAAGGAACACTTTTTAATCAGAGTATAGCATCAAGTCAATTAAACTCCTGGGATATTAATCTGGTTAAGTAGCAGAGGGGGTTGTTAATCAGTTTCAGCTGCTTTGGTGTTAATGAAATTAACAACAGGTGCACTAGATGGGCAACAATGCGACAACCCCTAAAACAGGAATGGTTTTACAGGTGGAGGCCACTGACATTTTTTTCCCCAATTCTCATCTTTTCTGACTGTTTTTTTCTAGTTTTGCATTTGGCTAGGGTCATTGTCACTACTGGTAGCATGAGGCAATACCTGGACCCTACAGAGGTTGCACAGGCAGTCCACCTCCTCCAGGATGGCACATCAATACGTGCCATTGACAGAAGGTTTGTTGTGTCTCCCAAAACAGTCTGAAGAGGATGGAGGAGAATCCAGGGGACAGGCAGTTATTTTGGGAGAGCTTTCCAAGGCCGTAGAAGTTTCTTAACCCATCGGCAGGACCGGTATCTGCTCCTTTGTGCAAGGAGGAACCAGATGAGCACTGCCAGAGCCCTACAAAATGACCTCCAGCAGGCCACCGGTGTGAATATCTCTGACCAAACAATCAGAAACAGATTTCATGAGGGAGGCCTGATGACCCAACGTCCTCTAGTGGGCCCTGTGCTCACTGCCCAGCACCATAGAGCTCGATTGGTTTTTGCCATTGAACAACAGAATTCACAGGTCTGCCACTGTCGCCCTGTGCTTTTCACAGATGAGAGCAGGTTCACCCTGAGCACATGTGACAGATGTGATAGGGTGTGGAGAAGCCATGGAGAATGTTATCCTGCCTGTAACATCATTCACCTGACCGTTTTGGTGGTGGGTCAGTGATGGTCTGGGGAGGCATATCCATGGAGGGATGCACAGACCTCTACAGGCTAGACAAGGGCACCCGGACTGCCATTAGATATCGGGATGAAATCCTTGGGCCCATTGTCAGACCCTATGCTGCTGCAGTGGGTCCTGGGTTCCTCCTGGTGCATGACAATGCCGGTCCTCATGTGGTAAGTATGCAGGCAGTTACTGGAGGATGAAAGAATTTATTCCATTGAATGACCCTCGCACTCTCCTGACCTAAATTCAATAGAACACCTCTGGGATATCATGTTTCGGTCCATCTGACTACACCAGGTTGCACTTCAGGCTGTCCAGGAGCTCAGTGATGCCATGGTCTAGATCTGGGAGGAAATACCTCAGGACACCATCCGTTGTCTCATTAGGAGCATGTCCCGACGTAGTCAGGCATGCATACAAGTACGTGGGGGCCATACAAACTACTGAATACAATTTTGAGTTGCTGCAATGAAATTTCAGCAAAATGGACTAGCCTGCTGCATAATTTTTTCACTTTGATTTTTGGGGTGTCTTTTGAATTCAGTCCTCCATAGGTTGATAATTTTCATTTCCATAAAACAATGGCGCATCCTTACATTCCTAACACATTACCCAGTCCATGTCAGTATAGATTTCCAGCATGATATTTTTCCCCACTGAGATCTGATATGTTTTCAAAGCGTTCCTTTAATTTTTTGAGCAGTGTAGTTAAATGAAAAGTACTGATCCACTGGATCACCACCTGATCAAATAAGTTTATTTCCACTTTTGCCAAAAAAAAAAAAACTTCACTCCAGTGTCACCACATGCTCCAGAGAAAAGCCTCCCCCAATTCAGTGGCCCATCTAAACTTGGTAGGCAATCATGCTTGTGGTGAGTGTCAAACGTAATAAGGCTCCTCAATCAATTAGCCCCTCAGCAATTAAAGGCAACTAAATCAATTGCTCAGTCACAAGGAAAGGCAATCAAAGAGAGCTTGTAGTGTAATACCGCTAAAATCAATTTATTATATAAGCTGTAATGAACTCACATAGTAAAAGTACAAGCATGCCCAACATCCACAATATCCTCAGAAAGTAACGGTATATTGTATAGACAGCGTCTCACCCGATCCTCCTTGCTGCTCACGAGCGGTACGTCACTTCCGTAGGGGAATGTGAGGTGGATGCCTGTTACAAGAATTGTCGTGCAGCCCACTGACGCGTTTCGTCACCTGACTTTATCAAAGGGTTTAACTTTATCAAAGGGTTTAACTAATATTTTTTTATATAACTCTCCTTTTAAGGGGGTGTGTCCTATGCCTACATACTTCTGCTAATACTTGTCCCTCGTTCTCATCCCAAAAAGTTTGGAGGTATGCTACAGGTAAGCCTATAATAAGACTTACCTGTAGGTACAGTAAATATCTCCTAAACATGCGCTGTTTAGGAGATATTTACTCTAGCTGCGCCGGTGATGACACTGGTCATCTCTCAATCGACGGCATGCTTCATACAGGTCACCTTGGCCACATATTTATTAGTCGTGCACCAAGATAGAAATTCTGGTGCCAAAACTAATATCGAAAATTCAGAATGCAAGTGGCCGAAAAACCGAAACTGAATTGTCTGCGTATGTAGTGGTGGGGAGGCTCAAATGTATTTTTTTTTTTAACTTGTGTATTTTTATTTTTTATAACTTATGATTTAATTGCTATCACATCGGGGACCAATAGTCCCCAATGTGATAGCATATGAGTGACAGGTCCTCTTTGTAGTGGGGAGTGGGTGGGGCAGTGTGTGAAAGGAGGGGGCAGGAGAAGAGCAGTGTATATAGTGAGGGAGCAGTGTAATCATTCAGGCTCCCTCACTGGCTGTTCCTATATGTCATTGCTGGTTTTAAATGTGATTACCAGCTTTTTTCCCCTTCATCATAGCCGCTAAAGGAAATAAGAGAAGGGGGGGTGTCACCAGTGACCTTACTCAGTAACCCCGCCCCTTACTTTCCTTTAGTGGAGGGGAGAATGACAGCTCCTTTTCAGAGCTATAGTGAACGGGAAAAAAAAAGCGAGTAATTCGATTTAAGAACCGGCAGTGATGTCGTGATGTGCAAAATGTCGATAGGGCTATTTTCGGCTGATATGTTTCGGCCGCTGAAATTTCGGTGCATCTCTAATATTTACCTTTATTATACCTTTTCCAAAATCACATTACAGACAAACCATTAAGTGAAGCCACCAGGGACCAAAATAATATATTTTTCTAAACTGATCCTAGGAGACTTAGCATGTTTCAGCAGATTACAATTGCAACAAAAACAGATAGCCATAAAAAAGACTGAGGTTACAACCCTTTGACTCTTAATTTAACAGTTTGGCTGGAGTTCTGCTTTAACCACTTCCCTACCGTGCTATAGCCGAATGACAGCTATACCCTGACCCTTTGCAAAAAATGCACTGGGTGAACTTAGGGTAAGGCTGGTTTCACACTGTTGTGCTGCAGTTTGGCTGTATGCAGGTACCCACTGTTTCCTATTGACTTTCAGTTAGATTATGTGTTTTTGGTGCGTTTTATGAAAGCGTTCTCCAAAGTCTTGCATGCTGCAGAAAGGGGCCCTAACTAGAAAAAAACTAATGGGGTTTTGAATGCTGCATCTCTGGAGTGCTTTTAGAAAGCACACAATCTAATAAATTAGTGGGGAACTGCGGGTAAGTCATTGGTCACACCGCTGCGATTTGTGTGCAATTTTAGCGCAATTTCAGTAGATTGTATTGCTACTTGTGAAGAGTTTCAACGATTTCTTGCAATTTGCAGTGCGATTTCCATTATATTCTATGTATGTGAAATCGCAAAAAAACTGCAGGTAAAAGTAATGCAAGAACTACTTTAAAAAAAAAAAAAAAAATAAAAAAAAATATTGCATGCTAGTGGAAAAGTCCACCTTTGGAACATGTAACTTGTTCCCATAGCCGCACCCACGCCCACCCCCCTCTCCCTCTGATCGATAGTACAGGGAGAAGTCTTCCCGTACTGTCAGATATAAATACAGCGCGCGGCCACACGGGCCTCTGTCCAGTCAGCCACGTCATTCATTCATGGACTTCCGTGAATGAATGAACTACAAGTCTTGGCAGCCTTAGCAGCTGTAGGCTTGTAGTTTTCCATGAACTACCGCAGTACTGTGGAGCACCGTGGCAGCTCATTGAAGCGTCCTGTCAGTATATCTGCTTGACTGTACATCCCGTACAGCAAGCAGATATTCTGACAGGTCTGCAGGAGACCTGCATGGCATCAGTAATCTACTGATCGCTGGTGCAATGCTTCCCAGGCTACTTTGGACAAAAATCAAAAATGCACATTTTTTTTACCTGTGCATTATTTTTGTCCAAAAGGTGAACTTATCCTTTAAGTCACTGACATTCATTAGATGTGATTTCAATACGCAAATCACACTGGTATGACTGGGCACCTAATGGCACAAAAGCTGCAGGTACTCCTGCACTGCGGCCAAACCGCAGTTCAGCAGTGTGACATTGGTCTAAATATACAAGTTTTGAAACTTTGAAGAGAAAAAAAAAAACATTCACTCCTGTTTCATGACAGTGCTGGTGACACTGATTTCCTAGTACAAACCACACACCCATAGGAAAATGAATCCAATACATGATCTAACTGGGTGTGCAAAGCGATAAAAGCCATAGCAACCAGACATCAGTTTCGTTCTGTAAGGTCAGCAAATTCAGGTTGTTCTGCACACCGCCATCTGAAATTTCAGCAGACACACACGTCTGCCATGCACCGTAATCACACTAATCCTGTTTCATGGTTGTTTAGTAGGGCACATTTTTCAATCTCTATTTTCTACAAAAAAAAAATCATTCCGGGTAAGATAAGATGTGCCTGTATACAGAAGTGGAACACATTCAGAATTCAGATGGGGTCATGGATAAAGAGGATTGTAGCTGAGAGCAGCCAAAAGAAAGTACATTCCATCTTACTGTCATTATCTGCCTGGGGATCCATGTGTTCTGCCTCCATTAATAGGATATTTTATTATTCTTTCTCATCTTCAATAATAGCTCGATGCCTCCAGCCTCTTCTACAGTACATGCAGCCTTAGCACAAGCAATACTTGTCACTGTTTATTAGCCCACTAATATATGACAGATCGTGCACAGCGTGCCTGCTGCCCTCTCATCACACCATGTAAACAATCCCTGCACTGTCTTGTCTGCTCCATCTGATCCCAGGATCATGCTGGCTCCTCCCATTTCCCTGCTGCCCTATGCTCTCAAGTGCTCACTGTTTGAGCAACGACAACTTTATTAGGCGTGTGACAAAGACACGAAGGAGACATAATTGGTGCAGCTGCCCAGGGATGGCCACATCTGAATGCACACTAAATACAAATGTGTAGCAGACTGATGTGTCTCCAAACTCAGAGCTTCTTGTGTCAAAAATTGAGTGGTAAAGTTTGTGTGCTGCCTGTGGGAATCAATTTGCTTCCAGCAAAAATCTTTCATCCACATTTGCATGCATTTGATGCACGTTTACTTGCAGTTTTCTATCCGTGTTTATCCTGTGAAGTTGTTTCTTCTTTTTGTGGATTTTTTGGGTGCACTGCATTGCCGTGTGTTTTTTACATGCATTTGCATGTGTTTTTGTGCATTTGCAGTGTGGAGAAATGCAGCATGCTGTACATTTTTTGCACTGTAATGGTGTGAACTGTGCCCATAGGATAGCCTGGATTTTGGGTTGTTTGGGGTGCTCAACATGTGATCCTCGGAACCCTCTGATGTGGCCCTCAACCTAAAACAATGCAGCAGTTTTGGTATGCTTTCAGAAAGTGCACCACATCCACGAGATATAATAGAAGTATAGCACTACCCCCTTAGGAGTTGCTGATGTTTGGGGTCCCCAATAGTCCTGCACAGCTAGGCAACATGCATTTTCTTTAACACTTGCACACTGGAGACAGTAAACAGTCCGTGAGTGTGTTTTTTATGTTTTATTAAGGGTATTGAACTTGGCTAGGGTAAGGGGTGTATGGGATGCCCAAGGAACAGTAAAATGAGGACAACTTCATGCCAACATGTACAAGTCCAAGGATAGACCTTCCATCTCTCTAGCCTTTCCTGGCGTACCACCCCAGACCCTACATGACTCCTCTTATCATCCAGCTATATAGAGGAAATCCCTAGGAAAGGGGATCCAGTGGCTGTTACCTGAAAGGGTTAACAGTCCTGGTATGGAGCTAGTAAGGTTTCCCCCAGAATGCCCTCTGCCCCGTGTCTGGCCCAGGGGGTGCAAGATTGCTCAGTCCTTTCCTGTGAGCTGGTTGGGTTGGTGGCTGCCCTCAGGCCTTCTGCTGGGCTAGCTCCTTCCCCAGCTCCACAGATGGTCCTCCCTCTGGGGACCGGTGGGGATGACTGATCCTCCTTTCCAGGTCCCAGCCTGTAGGTAGGCTCCTTCCCACTAGGCCCCCCTCACAGGCTCCTGTATCTCAGCCTCTCACTTCATCTTCCACATGTACTATCCTGCTGCTGAGCAGGCTCAATCACACTTAAAGGCTGCCCTGGCCCCATGCCAAGCCTCCTGTTTGGGGATTTTCCAGAGTCCTCTAAGTGTGTGCAGGCCAGCCCCTCCTCACCGCACGTCTTCTAGAATTTTCTCCAAGTTTCTTGAGCAGGGGGAGGTATCAGGGAAGTGATCTGCAGAGCCTCTCAGCCCTGATACTCGCTCACTAAAAAACAAAAATGTAACTAGCTCCCCCTGGCTATCTGGAGGGGCACTACAGAAGTATATGACAAAGTGCAGCTATCCTGCAAGAAAGCCACGGGTGCACTGTGCTGCACCCGAACTGCAGGTAAACCATGGCACATCAGTGTGAAAGCAGCCTTATAGGGGGCTCAAGACAGTAAGGGCTCATTTACATTTGCGATTTGGGGGTATTTGGTTTTTACCACACTCTCCCAAACACTGGTGTAGCATTAGGGGTGGCATGTTTATTATTGATGGACAAGTTTTATCTAGCTAACTAATGCCATGGTCTCTTCAGAGGTGGTCTTCAGGTGAATGCAGTAGGCATAACTGTATATTGGGTGCCAAGTGTAAGGGTAGGTGCGTGGCACCCCCTCCACACTCCCCTTCTCACCAGGCACCATTTACAGCCATTTACTATGAAGATTGATCTTATACAAAATCACACATATGCAACAACCGGAAACTATGCTTGGACCTACTCACTCACTATTTACCCAAGTCAGCTTAAACAGTAGCAGGGCCACTGAAGGTGCGACAAGGCCAGCTTAAGCAATGGATATGTCCAAACACCCAGAGCTACAGTGATTACTGATTATTGGGGTTACAAGAATAGGTTGAAGTCTGCCTGCAGTATGTTTTTTGGGCCTGAAAGTCCCAAATAGATCACAGATGGTAAAATGTATGTAATGTGAGGAAGATAACAGGGGCAGTCTTTTGATGTTACTTCTGCAGGAAATCACTGGGGCCCTTTAATGTTGGTGCACTAATGGTGAAGGTTAGAAGTCACAACCTGCGTTCAGTTCCAAGTACAACTAATTGCAGGTGTGCATTGTAGTGGTGGACTGAAGAAGGAGGCAAACAATAAAAGAAGGCAGTAAAGAATTCAGAGTAAAGTCAGTTCTGAAATGGTAGGGAATCCTCAGTAAACGGTATGATGTCAGTCTGGAATGAGTCATGTGTATTGTGGACATTAACCCATTAAGCGTGAGGGTATGGCTATGTCCGGCTATTAGAAGGCTCAGTTCCTGCCGTACAGTGTATGCAATTGGTTAAGAATACATTCATCAGTCCTGTGTTTCTGTCTTGAGTGCTGATGGCAGAGTGGTCCCTCGCGGAATGGTGGCTTGCACTCTGGTGGACCCGCATAAGGAAACACTGGAGATGTCGATGACGGCCAGCAAATCCACTTGCTTCCTTCACGATATGCAGGGATCAATGGGCGATACATGTGGCAATGGTCTCTCACAGCTAGTGGAGTTGCTGCACAGGCCGCACTCCTATCTTACTTTTTAATATATTTATAAACAACATAGGGTCTGGAATTAAAAATACCATTTCAGTCTTTGCAGATGACACCAAGCTTTGCAGTGGAATAACGTCCTTGCAGGATGTCTCCAACTTACAAGCCTACTTCAATGCACTATTTATGTAAGGAACCACCTGGCGGTACCTCTAGCAGCCCACAGGTCAGGTTTCCCTAGAGCGCAGAGTCTTAAGTCCCGGTCCGCTTGTTCACCAGGGCCCCTGATGGTGGGGATGAACCGAGACCAGGTCGCGGCTCCTGAGTGCACCCACCCGTGGTAGAGGAATCCGCCAGAGGTTCCTGCAGGGTGAGAGCCTGATGTGAAGAGGTGGATATGCCAGGGCAAGGTGGATGGATGGATGAGCAAGAGCATGGTTAGACAAGCCGAGTAGGTAGCCGTGGGAGAAGTGCGATACAAAGCAGCGGGCAGAGAATGGTCGGGTCACACGCCAGGTCAGCAACAGAAGAACAGATCCACAAGGGGGCATCCAGAAGGGAGGTCAGGCAAGCCAGGAGTCAGAGCAGGAGAGAACAGCCAGGTCAGCAACAAATCCGAGTCAGCAGGAATCACAGAAACAAGATCAGGAACACAGGGAGACCAAACGGCACCAACTGTCAGCGCAGGGCGATTTAAATATCATGCCCTGCGCTGTCATTGGTGCCAGGCACGCACCCACGGCTCCGAGTGCGCATGCGCGGGCTCTGTCTCCATCGCGGCCGGCAAGGACCTAGTGCCCGCACACTAGCGTGTGAACGGGCACAGTGCACCTGCGCCGAGCAGCGGGTTGTGGCGGCCCCTGACATTGCCCCCCCCTACGGGCAACCTCCGGGTGCACAACTGAACTCTCGACCGTGAGTGACTACTACGATAGAACTCCCGGATAAGCCTGGGGGCATGAACATTTTGGGCCGGTTCCCATAAGTTTTCCTCAGGACCATAACCCTTCCATTTGATCAAGAACTGAGTCTGGCCCCCCCTTTTCCGGCAGTTCAGGATTGCTTCCACCACAAATTCCTCCTGCTCCTTAATGGTTATAGCCTCTGGAGGTCTGGACTCCCGATCCGGGAAGGGGTCTGGCACAGCTGGCTTCAGAAGTGATACATGAAAAACTGGGTGGATTCTGAGCAAACCCATTGGAGGTTAAGATATGTGGAAAAGTGTGAATTTACTTGGGTGGGTGAGTCTAGGGGTGGTCTTTTGCAAAGAGTATATAACACCAGAGCAAAACCCCCAATGTTCTCTTTGTCCCTTTGCCTCTTTGGAAGCCCAGGATGTCTGTGTAATGTATTATTCTATGTTTCTTTTCTGTAACTTTCTTTCCTGTAGTAATCTCTTTGTATTGGTAACATTCTGTATTTGCATAGTAATATTACTACTTTTAAAGTTATACCGGCTACATTATATTTTGTTATATTTGATTAATAGCAAGCTTCTTTTCTGTGTAAATAAATTAGATCTTTATTTTTTGCACAGTTGTTATCATTTGGTATTAACATTATTGGTTTTAGCAACATCAGGATTGGCTAAATTCATGTATAGACAAAAGGTTGTAATCACTTATTCTTAGATAGAACCAAGTGAATAAGTGGGGTAGCAAAACCGCCAAAACACATTCAGCTGCCAGTGGGAATCCTGCTGACAGCTGAAACATTAATGCATGCTTTTCACTATTAAAATACCGCATGACTTAGATTAGATGAGATAAAATAACTCCTGCGGTATTTTAGTAGACTTTTTTGGGTTAATTTACTATTTTTCAGTGCATTCTGGGCATTTGGTCTCCTGAGGTTATCTTTTAAAAAGCTTCTAAACGCAAACGTGCATAAATGTGGCTAAACGCGTTATGCAAACGCAGCAAAACTGACGTTTTTTTAACCTATGTTTTCCAGCAGTCAGTTTCCATCGTTCAGAAGAGTTTTCCAAACGCCCCATGTACATGAGCCCTTATCATGAAGATAGTTCTTGGTGACT